ATCCTTCTCTAGTGAGCCAGCCACGAGAGAAACAAAAATCTCAACGTCGAAAAGAAAAGAACGACAACTGAAGCTCCGGTGAGAAGAGAGAATTTCTTTGCGAGTGGAGGTGAAATCAAGCAATCTTTGAACACCCAGGAGCCGATGATCATGCTCCTTTACAAGGAGACAATTTTTAGCTCTAACGACCTTCAGGCTTTGCCTAGCAGTGTTCAACTTGTTTTGCAGGAATTCGAGGATGTCTTTCCTGAGGAAGATCCCAAGGGGCTTCCGCCCATCAAAGAGATCGAGCACCAAATCAATTTCGTCCCTGGTGCTTCGATTCCAAACAAACCGGCGTATCGCACCATTCTGGTGGAAACCAAAGAGCTTCAACGGCAGGTGGACAAGTTAATGGAGAAGGGTCATGTTCGAGAGAGCATGAGTCCTTGTGCTATACCCGTCATCCTCTTACCTAAGAAGGATAAGACTTGGCGTATGTGTGTTGATTGCTGAACCATCAACAACATTATGGTAAAGTATCGACATCCTATTCCTAGATTGGATGATATGCTGGATGAATTGCATGGTTCTAGTGTGTTTTCTAAGATAGATCTTAAATCTGGATTCTATCACATTCGAATGAAAGAAGGTGATGAATGAAAAACAACCTTTAAAACGAAAAAATGGTTTATATGAGTGGTTGGTTATGCCTTTCGGTTTAACTAACGCTTCTAGCATGTTTATGAGATTAATGAACCATGTTTTGTGGGCTTTTATTGGAAAATTCATGGGTGTCTATTTTTTTTATGATATTTTGATTTATTCTAAGAACTTAGACGACCACGTGAATCACCTTACAGCTGTGTTGGAGACTCTTCGAAAAGAGAAACTGTATGACAATCTCAAGAAATGCATGTTTTGCACTAATAGACTTGTGTTTCTGGGGTTTGTGGTGAGTTCTAAGAGAATTGAGGTGGATGGGGAAAATATTGAGAAAATAAAAGCATGGCCCACCCCAACTAATGTGAATGAGGTTCGAAGTTTTCATGGCTTTGTAGGGTTTTATCGGCGGTTTGTAAAGGATTTCAGCACCATTGTTGCTCTTTTAACCGCCATAATCAAGAAGAACATGACCTTCCAATGGGGTGAAGCTCAACAGAAAGCTTTCAAGCTTTTGAAATATAAACTAACTCATGCTCCTTTGCTGATGTTGACTGACTTTTCTAAAACATTCGATATCGAGTGTGATGCCTTTGGTGTAGGCATTGGTGTTGTTTTGATGCAGGAGAAGAGGCCTATAGCTTTCTTTAGCGAAAAGTTGAGTGGGGCTGCCTTGAACTATCCCACGTATGGCAAAGAGCTCTATGCTCTTGTTCGAGCCCTAGAAACGTGGCAACACTACCTCTCGCCTAAGGAGTTCATGATCCACACCGATCATGAATCCTTGAAGTAATTAAAGGCACAACATAAGCTGAACAAACGACATGCACGATGGGTAGAGTTAATCGAATCCTTCCCCTATGTGATCTTCTACAAACAAGATAAGGAGAATGTGGTTGCTGACGCCCTTTCTCACAGGTATGCTTTGATTTCATCTCTTTATTCTCGATTCATTGGGTTTGAGCATATCAAAGAGTTGTATGTCAATTATCCTGATTTTGGTGAGGTTTATGTGGCTTGTGAGAAGCATGGTGAGGGAAAATATTATCAAGTTGATGGTTATTTGTTTCGTTCTAACCAACTGTGTGCGCCTCATGCTTCGATTCGTGAGTTGTTGGTTAGAGAGGCTCATGGTGGCGGCCTCATGGCTCATTTTGGGGTATCCAAGACTTTGGATTGCCTCCATGAACATTTTTACTGGCCCCACATGAGAACTGACGTAGAGAAGGTGTGCGCGTGTTGTCTTAAGTGTCGCCAAGCCAAATCAAAAGTTCAGCCAAATGGGTTATACCTTCCTCTCCATATTCGTATTACTCCTTGGATTGATATTTCTATGGATTTCGTGCTTGGATTGCCTAGTACAAGGAATGGTAGAGATTCTGTGTATGTTGTGGTTGACCGATTTTCAAAGATGGCACACTTTATCCCATGTCACAAAACTGATGATGCATCTAATGTAGCTGAACTGTTCTTTCCATAAATTTTTAGGTTGCATGGTATGCCTCGCACTATAGTCTCTGATCGAGATGTCAAGTTCTTGGGTTACTTCTGGAAAACTCTATGGAGTAAGCTTGGAACTAAGTTGTTGTTTTCTACTACTTTCCACCCTCAGACGGATGGCCAAATTGAAGTACTTAATAGGACCTTGTCTTAAATGCTTAGGGTTTCCATTAAGAGTAATATCAAGTCGTGGGAAGAATGCTTACCTCATGTAGAGTTTGCATATAATAGGCCTATTCATTCTACCAAGTTTTCACCGTTTGAGATTGTGTATGGGTTTGATCCTTTAACCCCATTGAATTTGTCTAATTTACCTGTCAATGAGCGTGTGAATTTAGATGGTGCGAAGAAAGCAGAGTTTGTTCGAGATTTGCATGAGAAGGTGCGGCTGAACATAGCGAGACGGACGGAGAAAGTTCTGAAGAACGTGAACAAACATCGGCATCCTCAACGATTCGAGAAAGGAGATTGGTTCTGGGTGCACATGAGGAAGGAACGTTTTCCCCAACAACGATGTTCTAAGCTAGTGCCTCGTAGTGATGGACCCTTTCAAATCCCCGCCCATATCAATGACACCACCTACAAGATTGATATGTCAAGCGAGTATGGTGTGAGTGTTACATTCAATGTTGCTTACTTAGCGACTTTCCTTGAAGAAAACTAAGATTTGAGGGCAAATCCTTTCCAAGTGGAAGGGGATGATGAAGGCATCAACACTAAGGAGATAACAAGTCCAACGTTGGTGCGAGAGGAGCATGGTCTAGCTAGTCACTAGAAGTCAAGTCAATGCACTCAAGGGTCGACTTCAAACTTATTTGGCTCAGAACTTCACCAATACGGAGGTCGAGCTGTTCGCGGGACGATAAGTGATGACGATTCAAGTTGGGGCTGTCTCAGGCCAAATCCACGATTTAGAGGTTGAAATCCACGACCATGGAAATGGACTTGGGACCGTGGATTCTATCGAGAGGAATTCCACGGCCTGAAGACACAAATCCACGACCGTGGATGTTGAGTGGTCAGGGCGTGGATTTTAACCTACTGTTGCAAGTTGTTTTTGTTTCCTTTGCGAATTAAGTGACTTATGGACCAAGACTCGAGTTTCTTTGTTATTTTTGGCCGAAAACCTTTGTAGCCTATATAAGGAGCTGAACTAAGTCTTTTAGGGGGTAATCAACATTTTTATTCATAAATACAAATCCTAGAATTGGTTGTTCCAAACACCAACTTCTCTTCTTCTTCTTTCTTGATCGTGGAATCGATTCAGCAAGAGGAAACCGACGTTTTCTACTGGCTTATCACCCTAACCAAATAGTCCTTTGTATACCTGGACCTCTGCCCGACTCGTGGATTTAATTTGGGTTTTTATCCGCTTTGTGATCGTTGTGCTTTAATAGATCTTTGCTACGTTTCTGATTGTTTAAGTCCACGAGTTAAAGGCTCAACTTATATCATGATATATATATATATACGGTGGCGTATTCGGCGCACCCACTTTTTTGGGTGCACTCAGTGCACCCGCCTCATAATCATCATTCTGAGCATGCGATTCATGTCAAAACGGTATCAATTGTTGCTTATGATATTATGAACAAGAAGCACGTGAATTTGAAAAAAAAAATCTTTTAATATTTACTTTAATTTGTAGGATTTAGGATTTAGGGGTTTAGGGTTAGGGTTTAGGTTTACAGTTTGGGATTTTGCATTGGATTCAAAATTGAAGGTTAAAGGTTAGAGTAATAGATTGATTTGTTATGATTCTATGGCATATCATCATATTAGATTGAGAGTACTCATTAAAGTTCAAAATTTGATGTATTATGGACACTTTTAGAGATGGGTGTACTCAGTGCACCCAAAAAAGTGAGTTCACCGAAATAGCCAATACATATATATATATATATATATATGGTGGCGTCTTCGGTGCACTCACTTTTTTGGGTGCATTCAGTGCACTCACTTCATAACCGTCATTTTAAACATGCGTTTTATGTCAAAATTATGTCATTCATCACTTATGATGTGATGAACAATAACGCACATGAATTTGCACAAAAATCATTGAAGATTTACTTTAATTTGAAGAATTTAGAGTTTATAGATTTAGGATTAGGGTTAGGGTTTACAATTTTGGGTTTAGGGATAGAACTCAAAATTGGAGGTCTAGGGCTTAGGGTAATCCACTAATTAGTTGTTATCATATGTTATATCATCATATTACACTAATTCTACAAATTAAAATTCAAAATCCGACACCTTAAGACTAGTTTTTGAGTTGGGTGCATTGAACGCACTCATTATTGTGAGTGCACCGAAGTAGTCACCATATATATATATATATATATATATATATATATATAGTATATATAGTACACCGAAAAGTGAGTTCACCGAAATAGCCAATACATATATATATATATATATATATATATATATAGTATTATCTTCAATACACGTTTTTCATATTCAATTCACTCTTCTTATAATCATCCAACACAATTCATATATCTCCTAAACTATATAGTACACAATCAACATCAAAGCTCGACGAGAGAGTTTCCCGAAACTAGCTAGGAGATGAGGAAAGTGGGAAAGGTCAACGCCTCCCACTCTTTTCCATGGATGACGTCATTGTGCACGTCATAACACAACTCGGACCCTTTTTTTTTTTTTTTCCCTCCTCTCGTTTCTTTCTTTGTCTCCCAAACAAAAAAGGACGTTACTTGGTCTTTGTAGCCAGCTTTCATTTTCGCTATTATTTAAATAGCTAGCGAGTGTAGTTACTCTAGTCGTGTCTCGTTCCACCATAAGTATTCAACCCGCCAGGATTCCATCTCACTCTCACTACTCTTTACTCTCTCACACTCATCGCCAAGTAAGCAGCAACAACAACAAAAACCCTTAACTCCAACCATGTACGGAAACCAAACAGCCGCTGATTTCCTGTTCTTCCCCTCCGCCGCCACGATGGACACGGATCAGACCGCCGCCACCTCGCCGTTCCTCCCTCCCGCCGCCGCCTCCTCGCACCACCTTCCGTCGGCAGCTCTCCTGCAACACTACCAACACGCGCTGTCGGCTAGAATACTGATGGACTCTTCCGCCGGTCAACGTCAGAGCAGCAGCAGCTCCAGCAGCTCTCCTCCCCCGCCGCCGAACACCTCCTCCTCCTCCTCCGGCTTGCCAGGTGGTTGTCCCATGCAGCGGAGCCTCAGCAGCCACTCTCTCGCACACGAGCTGTTCCTGGCCGCTGGCCGCGGCGGTCCCGAGCAGTGCTACGTGGAGGACAGTAGCGCGGCGGTGAGGAGGGTCTTCAGCGCCGGAGATTTGCATGTATGTATATCCATTCCCACGTACTACTATACTATAAGATTCTTTTCATGTCTGATTATTTGCATGTTGTTTTTTGGGCGCAGCAGGGGCAATATTATCAGCATCGAAGCAGCAGCAATAATGGCGGGAGCAGGGGAGAGAGCCCGTTGTCGAGCGAGAGCAGCGTGATCATCGAGAGCATGAGCCGTGCATGCAAGTACACTCCCGAGGAGAAGCAGCAGCGCATAGAACGGTACCGTACCAAGAGGAACCACCGCAACTTCAACAAGAAGATTAAGGTACGTATTCCCCCTCTTTTTTTTTTCTTCTTCTTCTTCTTTTTGAGTTAATTTGTTTAATGGGGTTTCCTTTTTCGTACAAGTGCGTTACTTTTAATCATTACACCAACCAATAATAGAGTGAAAATAAAATAATACGAACAATAAGTTGTGCTTTTCGCTACCTTTCAACCCAAACGGTTTCATTTCATGCTGTGCTATCTAATCACTCGTTACATATAGTAGGAGAGGAGATCCTTTATGTCACCTCCAAGCCTTCAAGTCATAACCAGCAGCACTGTTTCGAGAGACATTGGAATAGTTGTATGCATATATATGATATTATTATATATATTCCATGGCTGTGTGGAAACTGGAACAAACTAATTAATGTCGGGTTTTCATGATGGCAGTATGAGTGTAGGAAGACGCTGGCGGACAGTAGGCCGAGGATAAGAGGAAGGTTTGCGAGGAACGACGAGATAATAACTGATCATAACGGTCTTGATCACGTAAGTGGTGATGATCAGTGTCAGTATCAGTATCAAGATCAGTTCAACGGCCAGCAGTGGTCGAGCAGCAATCAGAACTACGGGGAAGAGTGTTATGATGCGGAGGAAGAAGATGATGATAACTATTGGGTTAATTTCCTCAATGCAGCAAATTCCTTCCCTTGATATGTAATCACTGTAGGGATATGATTAACTAGTTCCTAGTTAGTCACTAATTAAGTAAAGCTGCCTTTAATTACTTTATTATTATTATTATTATATGTATACGTACGTATGGAGAAAGGTCTCTGGTGAGGGAGCGATGGAGTAGAACTCCACATGGCTCCATCATGAGCAAGCAGCAGCTATGTTAAAATATAGCTAGCTGATTGTGATTGTGGTAGCTAGAGACTACCGTTTTCTGTTAGTTTATTCTTGGTGTCACCGTGGCCGTATATATATATATCTATCTATATGAATATAAAGCATGTGGGGGGTTTCTCAGATTGATTGTTAAAGTTCAGTTTACTAATGCAATTTTACAATTCTCTTTATCTATTATATTGTTTTGTTTTGTTTCACGGTGTTGTTTGAAGTGGTTAAGTATCATATTCATATATAGATATTTCTTAACAATTTGAGTTATTCGGATAAGATGAGAGCTGGTTTGTTGTTGAAGTTACGGTATCGTTTGCTTGTGGGATTTGGGTGATGTATTTGATACCCAAATTTCAAGCATTATGTATTTGCCAAAAAAAATATTGTTTGTTGAGGTATACAAATCTGTGGGACCAAATCCGTGGACCCCACGTATTTGCAAATACCATATTTCATTTGGTATTTGGTCATGAAAGGCCAAGATTTGTGAACCATGGTACAAAAATCTTTAAATCCATGATCAAAATCAACTAAACAAACAATGTTATCTTTCAAATACAAAATACAACAAATCCATCATAAATCAAAACCTTTATTTTCAAATAAAACAAGCAAACGAGCCCGTCATGTTTAAGTCCTCACGACCTTATATTAACCATTGTCTTTTGAGCACATGGTATGGCGGGCCGGTGCAATATTCAAGCCCATAAATTGGTTTTCGTTTGAGCGGACATGTAAGGAAATAATTAAGTACCATATATGGATGTCTCCCAACTACTCAAATCATTGTAACCTGTAATTAATGGATTTAAGAATAGTATATCAATTCATCATATGCAGCTAAACAAATTAGAAAAGAAGATAAAACCTCGATTATAGGAATGGAGGATCAAATGACACAGGGGCGGAGCCAGGATTTGGTACTCGGGGGGCCGGAGTTTCATATTTTGGTACTGCAAAAAGGCGTTAAAATTATTTAAATAATAAACGAAAAATATTTGAAATATTATGATAATTGTACCTTTTAAAGCGGATTAAGGTCACTCAAAATAAAATCTAAACTAAATTTTTTTACCATACCAGGTTCAATATAGATTAGAAAAGAAAAAAATGTTTTAATATTGTATATCCATCCTATTTTCATAATTAAAAAAAGAAGAATATAGCGTATTTGGAGAACAATTTATTTATTATATACAAAATTTTTTGTAAAAAATTAAAGTTGAAAGGTTGATGGATCTGGTTTTAAATTAAAGGATTTAATAAAAACAAAATATATAAGTTATTAGCTCATCTAATTTGAAACTAAAGGAGTTATGTTATGGAATGAATACTATGTTATGGAATGAATACTTGTTAAGTCATTTTTTAGATAAAACTCTAAAAGTTCAAAAAATATTAGAAAAGAAAAAAAATGTTTTAATATTGTATATCCATCCTATTTTCATAATTAAAAAAGGAAGAATATAGCGTATTTGGAGAACAATTTATTTATTATATACAAAATTTTTTGTAAAAAATTAAAGTTGAAAGGTTGATGGATCTGGTTTTAAATTAAAGGATTTAATAAAAACAAAATATATAAGTTATTAGCTCATCTAATTTGAAACTAAAGGAGTTATGTTATTGTTAAGTCATTTTTTAGATAAAACTCTAAAAGTTCAAAAAATAAACTAAGACCAACACTCTAAGGTTTCGAACACCTGACCTGTGAGCTATATTAAGCATTTCCCATCCGCTAGACTACACTGATTTTCTTGTTACTAAAATGCACACTACCACTATACTAATTCACCCATAGTTAATACGAAAAAATCAGGATGCTCGTCGGGTTTACACGTAACTTTCAAAATTCTCGGGGGGGCCGGGGCCACCCCGAGCCAAGACGTAGCTCCGCCCCTGAAATGACATGTACTTGGTTGTCTGTAGTATAGGAATTGAATGGTATGAGGCATTTTATTCAAAATTTCTGCCTCAATCGGATACGGGGCCGTATGATGTATACGATCCTTACGCATATTCCTCATACGCGTGTATCCAATTCAGGCAGAAATTTGAAAACAAATCAATATTTATCCCAAGTAAGAAGAACAAGAAGCGCCTACCAGTTTCTTCTTTGTACGCCACTAAATGACCGGTAATATTGACTAGTAAAAGTTAAGATAGGTGTTTGGTACTGCAGCTTGACACTCTAAGCGGATGAAGTGCGGTCACCCTATGATGACTTGCACTGAGACACACTTTTCCATTTTCTAATTGTGGAAATCATTATATATTTTCTCATAATTTTATCAAGCACGTTTGTAAAGATGATTGCAAATATTATTGATTGAATTTCACAGTCCCACAGAACAAATTATATTGCAAAAGAACCGTGTACATCGTAGAATTGATGGAATATTATTAGGGAGAGTACTCCCTTGTTATTGAGCCAATTCACAAAAAGGATCGTTATCAAATGTTCTCATATACGTCTTCGTAATAGCAAGCAAACTGAACGTGTCTCTTAATCGATCTTTTTTACTGATTTTTTTTACAGAGAGTTGACTCGATTTAACTTCTGATATGCAAACACTAAATTGTTGATTCGATTCGGATGCCGAAAAGTTGGCAAGCACGAATTGCAAGTAGGTTGATTGTCATTGACTAAAGTTTCTTTCCCACCATTCCGATATGCTTCATGTCACAAAGACAGACGTCCTTATAGATTCCCCGGAAGGGTAATGTCAGTGCTATAGATAGACCAGAGCAAGTGTGGGTGCCATTGACACCCACCAGAAGCAAAGTCAGTCAATGGATGAGCATAATCTTCTTGTTCATATCATTGGAAGGGTGGCCGTTGTCGACGGCTTTTTTTTTAGGCTGTGTGCGTTTGGTACTCGTCCCTCTCGTCGTCGTCATGTCAATCCCCATATTCTTCTCAACTCAAGATCCACAACCGGCCCGTAACATAAATTCTCATATAAAGGATGATTTAACTGGCGCATAAGTTGAAATTGTTAACATATGATTACATCTACTTGCTAGGAAAAGAAAGATCAGTATCATTGAAGTGATTAAATGGGTTGGAATTGGAAGTGCAGCTAGTAGTCAACGGGAATCGTCGGACATCAAATTATTGACACCATTCAGTGCAGCTTAGCTTGTTGTCGACACACGCAGAAAAAGACAAATTCAGTGCTGCGGGAAGTTACCGCTCTTTGGTTCTTAAGTCAACTCGTTATTCATGAACATTTACATCGTTATTTTGACATGTCTTTATCTCAACTGAAAAGCTAGGGCAATAGATAGATTACTGCCAGGGAAGAAAAAAAACACACAGCAATTTTCAACTGTTTTGCGTTATATATTGTATTTAAATAAGATGATTTTTCATTTTCATTAATGATTTCCTACTTTCCTATCCCTACTTATTTTGCTAAAATTAGCATGAACTAGCATAAATTAATTACACCACCAATCGAATCATACTGCTTGCAAAACGAGTATGAAAACATAAACCGGTTTCACAACCTTACCGCCGAACATTATACACATGAAAAAGGCTAAACTTTCGGTAATTGTATATTCAAATAACGCCGGGGGAGCTGGAGCTTTCCTGCCAGTCCACTTTATGCTGCAGAGTGGAGCTGGTGAGCTTTTAGTTCACCATCACTAACCAAAGAAGAAAATCAAACTGCAAATATACAGCCACTACTATCACACTGGCATGATTGTATACACCACATGCATGCCGCAATCTCTCACTCGAGAAGCAGAAAGAATACCACCACCCACCACTACCCTCTATTTTTCCCCCCCATCAATCTTTTGCCTTTCTTTGCCTGTAAAGTAAAACAAACCGAATTCCTTCCTAGTCTAGGCTTTGTTCTTCTTTTCACATTATTCAAGTTACAAGGTGGCAATATTTTAACTTAAAACTCATCTACTAATCATTGTAATTTGGAGGACAAAGGCACTAATTAATGATGACAAAGGATCTGAACCTAGGCATGCAACTTGTAGACAAACCCTAAAGCTCTCTCTCCCTCTCTATAGCTAAAACCACGGCTCCCCTGGGGAGCCCCACAGAGGTGGGAAAACGGCGCTCCTTAATGTTTTGTCGGCCCTTAATTACCCACTTAACTTAATCAAAAGCCACTTAACCATGGCCCTCTTTCATGTCGGACCATAGGTTATTAACACTAAACTAATGCAATGTTGATTATAGCAAACATGTACTCATTACCACAACAGCTTAAATAATATATTGCTAAACATGATTTCCTATACAGATTCTCCACCAAATGACCCTAACTGACCTAGACCTGCTTGATAACTAGAACTGGTGCAGTAGAGAAGAAGTATGTATATAGTATATACAATAGAACAGAAAGCGGCATCTATCAAAAGACCAAGTACGGCTAAAAAGCGATCAACCACAAACAAGAGTATAATAACTAGCAGCCCCTAGCAAGTGGGAAAAGGAAGCCAACTCAATGATGAAGCTAGTGGTTAAAGAAACCAAAGGGAGCTAATTGAATCACTTCTATGAACAGTGTTCGAGAAAAAAGGAAAGGAAGCAAAGCCACAATCGGAAGTAGATCCCCTTTCCCTTTCTCAGTATAATGGATCACATGAGAAGCAGTAACATGTAGGGACAAGATCATCTGTCTATGCACCATGCTAATGGGAGAATATGCCCTCCTTTCAGAAATACTGTTCTCAAAGGACAAAATCCACTACGAATCTTTGAGTATCAAAGGGTTTCATGGGCACTACTGTTCCTGTTTCGTGAATGCAATATAGCCGAGTTCGATATTCCATACAATCTTGTGTCGAGAATCTATTGGCTAGATGAACCCTTTTTTGTCAGCTTTAATAAATGAATGAGAACAGTGCATACAGGGAGATTTCGTTTTACCTGTACCGCAATCTTACAGTTGTACAGGCTGCATCCAAAAAATTTGCTCCAGTGTTCATGGCGCCAAAAAAGAAAGCATTTTCCAATTATGCCAACATCCTTCTGTGCTCAGATCTCTTGCCCTTCTTCTTGAAAGCTATAGGATGCAACAATCGCTTGAAGGGTAGTAACACTGTCGTTTTCTTCAATTTTGCTTTCGTTCTTCCTTCATTTGCAAAAAGAACCAATGCATGGATGAAATAGCAAAAGAGACGCTATGATCAATTTAAGTAATGAAAATAAGAACTGAGAAGAAAAACACAAGGTAAGAAAAGTTCAACTCAGACATCACGGGATCCACACTTCCAGCTCCCATGTAAACTTAGGAGACAGGAAAACATCAAACATAGTGACAAATCCATGACCATCCATTACCCTTTACATTCAGGTTCAGGTGTCATCCGAATCCACTCTAGATCAATCTACTTCAGGTTTTATCCTATCTAATTGGATCAGGTTCTGAAGAGCACCCACGATTGTAATATTTATCATCCCTACATGGGCGTCATTTAAGAAAGACCTTCAAACAAACAAACCAAAACAACTTCCTCAGTTGGATAGACAGAAAACCAGAAGGCACAGTCTTCTTATACCATAAACAGAAAGCCTTGTGGAAATCAGCATGCTCAATCAACTTAGCAAGAAAAGCACAATAGTACCTGAAGAAGATGGCACTGAGGTCAAATTATTGCCTTGAGCCTTCCCATGGTTTTGTTCTTGAGAACTCTGCTCCTCGAAGGTCAGAAAACTTGCAACTTGAGAGTCATCTTTTACATCCTCATCAGAAAGCAGGATTATATCTCTGTTGACTTCTCTTTGATCTAGCTCCTTCATTTGAACATCTTCAGTGGAACTATAATTAGCAGTTGGTGAAGCATCCCTAGGAATGACGCTGGATGAGAGAGGGAGAGATAACTTATGCTCAACTGAAACTGAATTATTTTCATATTCCATCAGTTCAGTGCCAGAATGATTTGTGCAAGCCTGTGCATCTTTCTGGGGTTCTAAGATCACCTCAACATCTTGGTCAACAACACTAGTTGTATCTACTTCAGCGTCAAAGCCTTGTGGCTTCATACACTTGTCAATTTGAGAAAGAAAGTCTGTGTTCCCGGATACATCTGTTTTAGCACCTGAGGTGCAGGGGGTCATTGCCTCAATAGGCATCACAGATTTCCGATAGACTGAATCGTCATTTTGAGAATTTGATAGTGATGACGAAATGTGTTGTAAAGAGGAATCATGTCCTTCAGTTTTAGCTAGAGAAACTGAGTTCTCTAAGCCATCCAAGATTGCAGCTTCTTTCCCGTCGGTGCTTGTTGCGCGCCAAATTTCATCAGAATGAATAGCTGCTGCTTCAGCATCAGGCAAACGGGCTTCCTGAGAGTTTTCAGAACCAGAAATTTGATGCTGTGATGGTGCTTCTGAAATATGACAAGTCAAAGGATGATCTCCATCAAGCTTCTCAGGAACTTCAACAGAAGCGGGAGTTAATTCAAGGAACTTGGAACCCATCAGAAAGCCTCCACCATGTGAAGAGGTGCTATCAATAATTGAATCAAAGTCAATTGCTTTCATGGTTTTTGATGCCTTCACTGCAACTGGCACATCATCTAACTGTAAATCACCTTCCCCACTAGAGATGGGATCCCACATAAGCCAGTCCATGGAAAAGGGGTTGTTTGAGTCAAATGTTTGTCCACTTGATAAAGGCTCAACCCTAATAGCTTCCTTGTAGAAGTACCTTTTCCTTAAGGAATTAGTTAGAAGATTTCTGCATTATGTTTGCCAAAAATGAGTCAAAGAACATATATAAGAAAATCTTAAACATCAATCAATCACTGATTGCAAGAATCCATACCTACAATTTTTGGAAATAGCTGCTTTGGCTCGTTCCATAGATAGGCCAAGCAACATTGATAATAAATTTGCAACATCATAAGGCCCTCTAATTTCATTTACAGAAGAAGCAGCACTGGAAAAAATTAGATTTTTGCCCCGCGTCCAATCGACCAGTAACTGGAGGTTAAGACATGTAGCAAACATTAGGAGTCACAATTCCAGACAATGGGAAAATGTTGGCCAGGTACCAGAAGAGAAGAACCAAACTGTACAATCATTTCAAGCGGAGCACCGGCCTTAGAAAATAATACATAGTTGAGGAAGTCATAAAATCAATGAACTCTCAAATTCCTTAAAATAAATCTTTCCCCCCCTATCCAGTATTAGCAATACCAGGTTATCCTCTGCAAAGACTCAACAGAAGCAGTAACCACAATGGGTTTTAGCCCCTGCATCAGAGATGTATAATGTAAATTAAGACGACTTAGCAGCCAATTCACAGAATCATCCATCACCTAGATCACCCTTGAACATAGTGGCATGTACATGAAAAATGCGGACTTTGTTTCCAACCTTGACGTCTGATGCAAACAGTACAAATGGCTAAGAGCAACCATATAACAAAGAATCTCTCGAAGTAACATACATAATGCAGTTATATCAATTGTAATTCACTCAAACGGAGTAACCAAACAAAGACCAAGGACAACAACAAATGCTAAACACAGGCATCGAACCACTACAGAATTCGTACCTTGGCATTGGGAATCATCTGCCTTCTCTCCGCAATAAGATCAGAGTATATGATCTCAAAATAAACCCCACGCTGCCAGTGGAAAGGAATACCACAAAATCACTTGCAAACTTCAAAAGCAAACGAATACCATAGAAGCTAACAACGAAAATTGCCAAACCTCCACCGCAGCCTTAACCATTGACATCTTCAACCTGAATGGCAGCTTCTCGGAGAAATCAATAGCAATAATGTCCACCTATCCAAGTAATACCACAGAAATCAGACCAAAATGACACTCAATCCAACATTGATCCATACCAACAAAACGCAAATTGGGGGGGTGAAAATCGAAGCAAACCTCCGACTTCTCACATGCATGATCGAATGCAACTTGATTCGTCGGCTTCACAGCCACAACATCATAGCTCTTCAAGATGGGATTCCCGCTATTGAGCACCTGAGCTTGCGCCGGACTATCCACGCACACTGTCAGACGAGTGTACTGACGGAACGGCGTGTTCTGTGAAACTCCGAGCAGCTCGCGGTGGAAACTGACAGATGAGGCTAAAGAAGGAACGAGACTTAGTAGAGATGAGAAAGACAAGAGCGGGATGGAGCACCGGTCGTGATCGGACATCACGCCTCTCATCGTCCGATTGTAAGCGACGCCGCTGTAGCCGAGCTCCATGGCCTTGATTACAAGCTTCATCCGCGTCGCCTTGGATGGTAGCGAAGTTTCGTAAGGGATATTGAGGTCGAAAAACCCCATTGTTTCAGAAACGATCACAGTTTCTACGGACGGCCGTGCAGAGTATTCTGTCCAGCTATGGGGTTTAGGGTTTAAGCAAAATTGGAAGTTGGAACTCCGAAATCCCGAAACCAACTGACGAGTGACGAGACGAGACACGGGAAGAAGAGCAGTGAAACGGCGCCGTTAGCGTCGTCCCATAAAACGGCGGCGTCCTGTCAGTTTTCTTTCAACCCTACGCGCCCATTTGGGGGGAAACAAAATAAGCCGCGCGACTAAATTCTCAAATTTCCCACACGAAAATTTCAAACGGAGATTTCAACCACGTCATCGATCCGCGTCTAGAAAAATTCTCATTCTGAACCGTCGATCAAATCTGATCTACGGCCGAAACAGCGTCTTCCACAGCACGACCGAAATCTATTCTATTTCAACCAAAGCCCATTCCCTTTCTATAAATACTTTCACCAAACAGTTTTTCCAATTCACTCATTCAATCCTCTTCTTCACCAAATTAGCTCACCCGCTCAATCTCTACTAGATCTATCGATTCGATTTCCTGAAGAAAAATGTCTGGGCGCGGCAAGGGAGGCAAGGGGCTGGGAAAGGGAGGAGCGAAGCGCCATCGCAAGGTCCTCCGTGACAACATCCAGGGAATCACCAAGCCGGCGATTCGCCGATTGGCTCGCAGAGGTGGTGTCAAGAGGATCAGCGGGCTGATCTATGAGGAGACTCGCGGCGTTCTCAAGATCTTCTTGGAGAATGTCATCCGCGATGCTGTGACCTACACCGAGCACGCCAGGCGCAAGACGGTGACGGCGATGGATGTGGTGTACGCTCTCAAGAGGCAGGGCAGGACTCTCTACGGGTTCGGCGGTTAGGAAGGATCGGAGATCCAGGAGAAAGAAGTCTTGCTGTCAAGACAAGAAAGATGAAGCTCGTCGGAAGATTTTATGTCTAGCTTAGGGTTCCTGTTGTTTTCCTTTCATGTTCTCTACTCTGTAATTGATTTCTCCTGGGGTGCGTTTGGATAAGTGTATTTTAAATGCAAGGTATTTGAAATACTAGCATTTGAAATGGATGTATTTGAAGTATTAGCATTTGAAATACATGTAATTCAACTTCATTGTTTGGATACTCATTTGTAATTTGTTTGTATTTTTGTATTTATGATTTTCAATTTCAATTTTTAATTTTCTGGTCACTTACTACAAATTTTGGTAAATTACAGTTTGGTATCCAAAATTAGTTTTTCTTACAATTTAGTACCTAAACTTCTAAAATTTTACAAAAAGGTCCTGAAATTTTGATGATAAAATTACATTTTGGTACCTTTATATGTTTTGCCTCACACTATAGTACCTAAACTTTTCATATTTTACAAATAGGTCCATTCTTTTGTTAGGAGGTATTTCAAATCACTAGTTGTTGAAATGTATTTGAAGTTGACAAAAAATACACTAGACATGTATTTGGAAATCACCCCATGAATTTGACAGAAATCCAAATACCAAATGTAATTAATATCCAAACACATGATTTGGTATTTGAAAATCCAAATCACAAATACCAAATCCAAATCCTAGTATCCAAACGCACCCCTACTAGTAATGGATTCTTGCCTTTAGAATCTATCTGTAGATTGCAATTCACGGTGCGCTCTTGAATTGCCATTCCTTTCAGTAAAAGTTTGCCTTATTTCTACTACTATTACCAAATTCTATTATCAATTTACAATGCTGGTTATACTTGGGGCTGCAAAGCAAAAATCAAGAAAACTGAAATACCAATATGCACAATTGCCGTAACAAAAGTTGTATTCCACTAGTTATTTACAAAGCTTAAGACACCCTAGTGAAGCCATTCTGCGCAAAAGAGCTAGGCTTCAATTCAATCAAAGACAATTTTGCTCATTAGCAGTCCCAGTTACATAAATTTGAAGGCATCTTTGTAGCTGGCTACAGTTTGCAGTAATCTATCAGTTTAGGAGAAAAGAAAGCACAGCTGCAGGTAATCATATGATGTGAAAATGTTAGATTGAATTCGATTCAATTGAATGGCCTTAAAACCGCCATTGAAAACCACAAACAGCCTTTATCTTTCATGTCTAACGAGAAACAAGAAACCGAGACAAAATTGTAGACTATTCTTCGAAGTTGGTACATCTAAGGTTAAAGAGCAAAGAGTAAGAACAGTTCTTTTTATCTAAATTTAATCTAATCAAATACTTTCTTTCCATGGTCCAAAGCCACATAATGATCGTCATTGATTTCATCAACGAAAAGGACCACAATCAAATAAACACAGCGCTCTCCCCCTACGTGGTTCCAACCCCTACTCGGATTTCTGCTTTGATGAGGTCGAACGAGAATGTCTCGACTGACTCGTGCACCTTCCAACGAACTTGAGAACCTCATCGATCAGGATGACGGGGAAAGCCACGGCCACCACCAACAGCCACTCGTTCAGGCTAAGAGGCACGATCCCGAAAATCTGGGCAAGGATAGGCACGTACAGGATCAAGAAATGCAGCGCGAACGAGACAGCCATGGCCAGGAGGAGGAACGGGTTCACCCACGGAGGCATCGTCAGGAGGCTTCCGTCTTCAGAGAGAGCATTGAGCGAGTTGAACATCTCGATGGACACGAGCACTGAGAGCGAGAGCGTGGAAGCCTTGATCTTGCCAGACCTGAAGTAGTCGCAAGGGTTCGAGTCGAAGTTGAAGGTCTGTGCACCAGCAGTGAAGGGCGTGACAGTGAAGTTCTTCCACGAGTCGCAACGGTCCCAGCTTGCTAGCTGGGAGTAGGTGACGAGTGTGTGACCGTCTCCACTCAGGTTGATCCCCATGAACGAGCTGTGGGTGTACCATATGACGAAGACTCCGACAGTTGCTACCCCGACGTAGAGACCAATCACCTGCGTGAAACGATAGGATTTTTTGAGAAAACGAAGTTTTGCTGCATCAAGATTGGCCATAAATTTCTAGAGGGGTTCTAATTGGCGTACCAGGTAGCGGAATAATATCCAAGGAGTGATCAGTGAATCGTTGCTTCTTCTGGGAGGCTTCTTCATTATATCTTTATCAGCAGGGTTAAATCCTAAAGCTGTTGCTGGAGGCCCGTCAGTGACGAGATTCACCCATAAAAGTTGGACAGGAATCATACCCTCCGGGATACCCAGAGCAGCTGTCAAGAATATGGAAGCAACCTCACCCATGTTTGAGGAGATCATGTACCTAAAATGTTGAGAAGTAAGAAGTTGTTCCAAATCTACTGCGATGCGAAAATAGAGGGGAAGTTGGTTCATTTGAAGTACCTGATAAATGCCTTCATGTTGTTGTAAATTGACCTGCCTTCGCCAACAGCAGCAACAATGGTGCTGAAATTGTCATCCGCCAACACCATATCAGATGCTTCTTTTGCGACCTGAAGTGATTAAACGATGAGAATAATAAACACAGTTAACGGGTAGATGACAGGGAAATAATCTCAGCTTCTTAATGAAAAAAAACAAATACACCCTTAAACATATGCATATCTACCAGATTAAAAATATGTATGCATCAAATCAATGCACTCAATAAATTTATATATGAATGATGGACTTACAAACTATGTATATCATGGGCTACTACAAAATCAGTATCAGCTGACACAGAAGAAAGAGCGAAAATTGACAAGTATGTAGTATAAGTACCTCTGTTCCGGCAATGCCCATAGCAACTCCAATGTCAGCCAACTTCAAAGCAGGTGCATCGTTGACACCATCTCCAGTCATTGCAACCACCTCTCCTTCCTCCTTCAGCAGCCTCACTATTTCTTGTTTGTGCCTTGGTTCTGCTCTAGAGAATAATAGACCCCCACTTTGTCTCAAAACCTCCTTTCTGTTGGGATGGTCCATGAAGTCTCTCCCGGTAAAGCTTCTTAAGCTGATATCATCATACTGTCCAAAGACACCAATTTCACGGCAAATAGCCTCTGCAGTATTTTTGTTGTCTCCGGTAATAACCATAACTCTGATTCCAGCAGCCCTGCAGTCCTCAATTGCTTGAGGAACTTCTTTGCGTGGTGGATCCTAAGAAAATGTTGTAATTCGGTTATTGTTATGCGAGAATCATGGCAGTGAAACAAGCGGAATAATCAAAATAGAACCACCGACTCACCCTCAGCCCAACCAAACCAACAAACACAAGTTTACTCTCGATGGAAGAATAGTTAGATGGATTAAGTAACAGTTGATGGGCTGGATGATCTTCATCGCCATTGTATGTGTCAAACTCTGGAAGATCCTCTTTGTATGCAAACCCGAGGCAGCGTAATGCAGTGGTTGACATGTCATGAAGGCTCTGTAAAATATGATCCCGAGAATATTGGTCTAGTTCTACAGTAGATCCATCAAGCAACTGAATATGAGTACTTCTCTCCAGCACATTTTCAACAGCACCCTTCACAGTAAGAGGAAAATCAGATGACCTATGAGAATCCAGCAACATGTCAAAAGTAACAAGGGGAAAAAGGGAATAGACATGGGAGAAGATATACCTTAACTAGCAGCACCTTTCTACCAGAGCTAGAATTGACAATGACACCCATTGATTTTCTGTCTCTGTCAAATTCAAGAGTTGCAATTCGCTGCTCCATTTTATTCCACAGGCCAGAGCAACCTTAATAACAATAGAGATGAAGTACATCAAGCATTTTATCAAGGTGATAATGAAGACATGCAGGCAATGAAATTGAGATAGGATTACGTACGTAAAGTTTCAGCGCTCAAAGAAGAAGCATCATGATTGACTATTCCAGGAAATCCCATTTTCTCCACCAAAACCTGGTACATGAACAGAAGCACATTGTTAGAGTACGTATATAATCATAACCAGGAGCTAAACTTGTAAATTATCTACACAACACAATCACTACTAATAATCTGCCAGCCAATGAAGTTCAAGTTAGAAGACCCCAGGTAACAGCATAAAGGAGAAGCTAAAAGTTTGGGCACAGGCGAACAGAAATACACAGAGAGATCCAAAACAGCCCATGTTAAGACCGTTGTGTAGCCTTGCTCTAAGGATGTACCACATTTATGAATAACCGTGGATTCTCCAGATTTTATTCACAAATTATTGAAGTTGAAGAAGTTGAGAAATAGGAAGATATGTATTTATTCACCTTCAGTGCAGCTTCGGTAGGCATTCCAGTAGAAACATAATGCTGTCCTGATTGCTCCACACCAGCATCATTGCAGATTGCAGCAACCTTGGCGATCATCTGAAGATTAGCATCCATTCGACCAACAGGCCAATCTTCTATTTTACCATCGAATGGATTATAAGTTGTGCCTTCCACATCGAATGATCTCAGATTTCCAGCCCTAGAACCCATAGCCACAAGCTTTGATACAGCCATCTGATTGGTTGTCAGAGTTCCAGTTTTATCAGAGCAGATGACAGTGGTGCAACCAAGAGTTTCGACACTTGGAAGCTTCCTGACAAGTGCATTCTTTTGGGCCATCTTGCGAGTGCCAAGTGCCAAACATGTTGTTATGACTGCTGGTAATCCTTCAGGTATGGCAGCCACTGCCAAAGCCACAGCAATCTCAAAGTAATACGTGCACTTCTCAAATGAGAACTTGAAGTTCCTTGGCCAGCCATCAACATATTCCCAAGTAAGAAAGTACTTGACATTAATGAGCCAAACCAATGCACAAATAACTCCAATAATCATGGTTAGGGCCTCTCCAAATTCATTCAACTTCTTCTTCAACGGGGTATCTTCCTCGTGCTGAGAGGCTTCATGAATTTGTGAATGCACCTTCCCTATCTCAGTGTTCATTCCAGTGCCAGTGACCAAGCACATGCAGTTACCATTCACCACTGTCGTTCCAGCAAAAACCATACATTTTTTGCCCTGAATATCAGTATGCTCAGCAACTGGTTTAACAGTCTTGCTCACAGCTTCACTCTCACCGGTCAAAGAACCCTGCTCGACCCTAACCGTAGAGCTGACCAAACTCACAACCCGCATATCTGCAGGCACCTTATCACCAACCCTCAGCTCCACAATATCCCCAGGAACAAGTTCCTTGGCAGGGAGGCTAGAGATCTTCTTCCCATCTCTAATAACAGCAGCATGCTCTGACTGGATTTCCTTCAGAGCTTCCAACGCCTTCTCGGCGTTGCTCTCCTGCCAAATCCCGACAATTGCATTCACAATCAATATCAGGAAAATAACCAACGGCTCCACGAAAGCCGTGATCTCCATCTCGCCACCTTCCTTGCCATCATACCACGCCAAAACAAAAGATATGACGGCAGCGGCCAACAATATCCTAACTAACGTGTCCTTGAATTGCTCCACTATCAGCTCCCAAATAGATGTCCCTTCGTGCTTCTCCAGCTCGTTGTGACCATAGATCTGGAGCCTCTTCTCCACCTCCGCAGCCGGCAGCCCCTGCTGAACGTCGACTTCGTACTTGGCCTCACATTCTTTCACGTCCTTCGACCAGGCCGGGAAGACATCCCGATTCTCCTCCGATTCAAGCCCGACTTTCCCGTTCTTCCCTACGTCCTGCCCTCCCTTCCCCATCGATTTCAATTCCTTATACGAAAATTCACTGAATCAAAATCCAATTCTAATCCTTTTGAATCGGAAGCATAAAATACATCACGATCCAGCTACGCAACCTTCAGGAAGGAAACAACAACAAATCAGAGAATGAATTGAACACTATGAGACTGGATAATGTAATGCGAGAATCCAAAAAAAAAAAAAATCCATACAAGAGGGAGAAGGGAAATTCGGACGCAATTTTTCTCAGCAACCAAACAGGTGAAAGAAAACACACGCAAAGATGGAATTACCAAGAATCCTAGGGTTTCCAACTCACCAGGAAAGCCCCGCCTTCCCTTCTCCTTCCGAGCTTCTCCCTTCTCTCAGCTACTGTCCCAGAGAAGAGAACTGTGGCCTGCCTCCCTCGTTATATATTTTTCTCCTCCCAGACGCAGAGGTTGAGTAGAATCGGGAACCCAAAGTAGATCTCTGCTATCGGTTCGTACAACTTCGTATAAAAATAATCAATTGGCCAAACAGAATAATAACTCAAAGTTTAATCATTTAAAAAAATAAAAATTAAAGAGAGAGCGATTCAATTGCTCTTGTTAAGTTAACCCTCACTTCTGATGGATGATACTGTTTATAAATCTCTCGCAATCGTGCTACTGGTTGAAATCTGGATGCTACAAAGGGCTCCACGTGCATTCAGCCAATGGAAGCCGGACACGTCAGAATATACCTTACCCTCGAATGGGCCAGCATAAAAGCCCAAAGAACGTACGGTGATTAGCGGGCCTCTTTTCCGCAAGTGGGCACGCAACCAACGGACAAGGACCCCTTTACGCAAGGAACAATTTTACTGTACCGTGCCCGCACTGGATCACCTCCGATGGTTGCCAAAAAAGCCTTCCGCAGTTCCGCTTTCGTTTTCATTTAATAAAATACAATTTTTGTATTGTTTCGTTTCCATCAAGCGTCCTGCTTTAGGGGTTTGATTTTTTGGGGATTAATTAAATATAAGGGGGCATGAAATTTCCTGGTAATTGTCGATTTGGTATTAAAGAATGGGGTTTGGCTTTTGACACTTCTTTTGTAAATTATTGAGGGAGTGGTAGTGGGTGGGAGGGATAGGGAAGGAAGGGAAGAACAATGTAAGCATATTCCACTGCCTAGTGTCGCTTCTTTGCTCTATTTTTGGACTTTTATTTTCCTATTTATATTATGGTCGCAATGGTCATATGTATTTCATTTCATATAGCATATTAGTGTGCGTACGTTCACAAGCACCTTTCGGTAAAAATAAATAAATATACGTGATTCGATTCGATGAAGCCAAAATTCATCTATATCAATTTAATACTTGATCCAAAATAGATTGGTCAATTAAGTCTCCAATTTTCGAAAAATATTTTTGGTTCAATGCACGAAGTAGGATTACCCATGGATAACATAAAAACACGTAAATGGAGATCGAAATGCAAAATATCCACCCTTTTAGAGTATATTTACCTGCTACACTATAACTTCTCTTTAGATCTGAAGACTGCGGAGAACAATTAATACGAGATACACCCAATATTTCCTTGAGAAAGAAGGCCTACTACTTGTGCATTGAAGTGGCTAAGAAGCTATGCTATGATGGTAGAATTTCTATGCGGTCATTTTCTTGCCCCGTCGATGAAATTGGAACCCAAGGGCATCAGAGGCTGAGACTACCAACTTTCCTTCCCCCTTCACAAATGAAAGAAGAAAACTTTCCCTTTTCCCCATTAATTAAATATTAGTTCGGAAGGAGCTAGAGCAGCAACTCGCTGTCAATGGCGCTTGCTATCGTGGGTCAGAAAGAAAGCAGTTGTCAATGAGGGAAATTTGCTCTTATTTAAATGGTTCTCATTAGTCTATACAGAAGCAATTAGTTGGGTTGCAGGAGGCAGTAGGCACCCAGCCCAAGACTTTGCTCCCCCAACATAATTGGGGATGTGCCTCTGCTTTCCTCTTCTGCTGCCTTCTTCTTCTTCTTCTTCTTCTTCCCTGAAGCTTCGTTCCGTCCGCTCCTTCTTCTCTTTTTTGTGGTGGTAATATAAAAAATAAATAAAATAAAATAAAGTCGAGATCACGTGGTAGAGGACATGGCTAGGTGGTGGTGGTGGACTAAAGTTGGTGGCTATGGTGTAGCTAATGGTGACGGACGGGTGGGTCGAAATTCCTTTTCCGTGTGGATACGCAATCTTGTTCATATATAGTGCGGCAGTGGGCACTTCCTTTTTGGGTTCGCTGGGTGAGAACAGAGAACACTATGTTGGAAATTTGATTTAACCGGTTTTGATTTAAACTAATCAGTTTGTTCCGGTTTGAATCACTTCCTGTATCTGCTAGTGGAGAAAGCTAGTCACCGGATCACACCAATAATAGTTTCCCAGATTTCGACAACAATTAAAAGTTCGTCAATGATGTGGTGAATTTACGTAACAAATACATCTGTTGTTGATTTAGAATCGTCTTTTCTATTCGAATTCGATAGTTTCTACGTACTGGAACGAAGATGTGTGTTTCATTGTTCTTCTGAACATGGCGGTTTCGAACCGTAGATTTGTGATGTATTCAGAAATCCATACAAAAAAACGTACGTGACCTTTTTGGTGTTGGTTTATCTAGTTCCTTGGAAGAAGCAAGCGTATGGTTGGTGGGATTTTGGGTTGCATTGGGCCCTTTTTTGTTTCTCGTTTTATGTTTGGTTCCATCTGAGGGGGGCCCATTTGTTTGGAGAAAAGATAGCTTAAAGGGGCCAACAAGTAACTCCCATGTAGAGCCTAACTTACCAACCATCGGCCCATTTTTTGCGGCTAACAACCTGGCCCATATAAAATCATCTTTGGGCCTAGTGGATCCACAACCAACTCGTGTACCAAGAAAACTTACCATCCACTTCACTGCTATTGAGAATCCAACCAGGTTGCTGATGTAAATTTAGGGCTGGAAGTTTGATACCGGTATTTGGGATACACAGAATACCGTATCGAATTTGTTTTTATTTGGTATTACTGAATACACGTATTATTTTTTGGGATTGGAATTGTGATTGGGATTGAATTTCAATTGTAATTCGGTATGAGGGATTACCGGATTGGGATCGGTATATACCGAAATACCGATCAATACCGAAATATAAGCTAGCGTGTATTTTATCTTCTCAACTAGACTCTCTCATTCACTATTACACAACCCTCAACCACCAAAAGTGTCATTTAATTATACATAGATCATTTTATCTTTGTTTCACAACTCAAAAGTCCACATCCAACTCAATTTTGACTTTCCAATTTAAGTAAACACTAGTATTAGTCGACTCTCAGCTTTCAATTCGTCAAATTAAAGATTACCCATGACAAGAACTTGAGATGTCACCTCTCTTTCATTCTCCTTATCCTAGATCTAGGAAAACTAAAGACTCTTTGCTTAGTCTCTTTGCCCTAAATTAAACAATCAAATCTAGTTTATACTAGTTTTCTACCCGGCCAGTTAGTCGGATTAGTTCATTTTATTATTTATATTAGTTAACTTATTTACATGTTTTGAACTTTTTGGATCTTGTATACATTTTATGCTCTTGCTTCATAAGTGAATATGTGGTATGTCTATATCGTATAATATTTAATAGTTAGCACACTCGCTTGTGATGTTTTTATTCTCTGATCATAAATCATGTCGTAAAGGTTTATCACGTCCCATTTAGGATCGTATATAAAAAAATTTCCACCAAGACGCTCAAATTTATTATCTTATACAACATATATCAATTCATGATTCTCGAGTTTGTACAAACTCTCACTCAATTAATCAGAGTTCAAATTATTGGAAAAATATACTTGATTACTGGATAAATTATGTTTATCCCATTTGAAATTTGACACACATTGTATCCCTTAAAATGATTAAATTCTCTAAACCTCACTCATTTTAATTGTTGATGTTCATGAAGTCTTTGTATAGCAACTTTTTACAATTGCTAATATTTTAAGTTTGTACTAACCCTCAACCCATGCCTTTTGTCTAGATGTTCGTTTAGAATCTGAATCCAAAGATTGATAAAAAAAAATTATGAATCCAAGGATTCATATACACTATCGAAGGTTCTCATCTTAACATGTTCCTTCAATGTATAACTTTTCAACTATTTGAATGTCCATCCGCTAAAATTTCTTTATATTTGGTGTTTATTCTAGAACAAAAATTTCATTACTTATATTAATAATTGGTAAAGTGTGTATACGACCGACAAATATTTCAGGTGCATTCAAAATTATGTATTCCTTAAATAATTAACTTATAATTTTTTAACAAAATATTTTGTAGCAAAATTTAAAAATTCATACAAACATTTTGGCTTTTCACGTGTATTTAAATTATTGGATATATTGTAGACACATCTATTGTTAATATCTAAACATATATATATATATATATATATATATATATATATATATATATATATATATATATATGAAGAGAGTTTATTTTACTTTCAACACTAATTAATACCTTTGAACTCAACTCCTTGGGTGGAATATGATATTATTTTTTTTATTATTGCCAAAATTTGGTATGAATTCGCAGACTCACAACTATATAGACTTGTTACAATTTTCTTACTAAACTCATATTTATTAAATATTCTTTTTTTTACTCAATAGCTCGGTTTACACTATTGTAACTATAAATGTTTTTTGTTATATATGTGAAGTAAAACATTAATATTTATTTATTACCTCAATCTTCGAATTTAGATTTTTCTTAGCATGAAATGTGATGTTTAACGTACATCCTTAACAAAGATTTCTCTAAATTTCACACATTTCATTTTTCAAGTGATCTCATGTCTCATCCTAGAATATGAAGTCAAAGTTCATCAACTATTATAGTCAAGTCATTTTGGAAACTTCAATTTATAATCTTTAACAATAAATAACGCCAAGTCTGAAAAGAAAATTTCTTAGCATATGATGTAAGACATCAATAGAGCTTGCTCAATCAACATGAACTAGAGAAAATATTAGTAATGTGAACTTATGATACATTATAAATACTGCACATGCGATTCATATGTTTTCACATGATCAGAATGAATAAGAAGCTTTTTTAATAAATAACTATTATTTCTTGATCATGTTTCTTTGAGACCTTATCGACAAAATATTATTATTTTTGTGTGTTTTTTTAAATTATTTATTAAAATGTAAATTATTATTAAGTTTTAGTAAAAATGAGAAAAAATTTACATGGTAATCTTTAATCATATATTTTTTGGTTTAAAAAGTGTGATATATATGTCACTCTACGAACATTAGTATACTGTTGCGTACATCGATATAATGCAAAACCAAAATGTGATATATGTCACTCTCCATCATGATTGTAACGTCGGCCGGCATGCCACCGGCTGAACCAGTCAATCGGTACCGGTCATGAAATCGACATGACACCAGCGGTATGATCGTTTTACGAATTTCTAAGTAAATTACGTAGTTTTAGTGAATTTAAGTATGAGTACCTGTAATTTTATTTAAAATATCATATTTTATTCAAATATCAATATGAATTGTA